AACAGCAGAGCGCCGCCCCGAAGGAAATGGCTAAACTTACCTGGAACTTGAGGCACTGAGCGGAGATGCTGGGCAGGGCCTGGGGGGCGGCCAGAACGGGTTAACCTGCCCAGGCAACAGAGCGCCGCCCCGAAGGAAATGGCTAAACTTACCTGGAACTTGAGGCACTGAGCGGAGATGCTGGGCAGGGCCTGGGGCCGGGCGGCCAGAATGGCCAGGCTGGGACTCTGCACTTTTGCGGCTCCCTCCGTGGGGTGGGGCGGGTCCCTGTGCTGGGCTGCGGCGAGGTGCGCCGGGAGACTGGTCCTGAGGGGAGCAGCCCAGAGGTCTCTGCCGAGCCCTTCTGCCTCTGGCCCTCCCATCAGGGGGTTGGAGCTCTCCCGCACCCCCATGCGGAGCCCGGCACAGCCCAGGCCAGGGACTTGGGGGCTGGGGGGGCACAGCTGAAGGTGCTGGAGGAGGTGCAGGCAGGTGCCAGCTCACGGCCGTGGGGGCCCCTGGGAGGTGGTGTGCGTTTCCCTATCAAAATGGGAAACTTTTATGAAGTAGCTGAGGTTCCTTTGTGAGCAGGTGGGAGCTCACGGGGCTCCTGTGGGACCTGGGGTGGCTCTCTTACCCTTTGAGGGCCCCAACTTCCCCTGACCTCCAGATACCATCCCTCTGGGCGCCTGGGAGAGAAGGCCAGGGAGGGTCAGGGGCCGGCAGTGGCTGCGTGTCCCAGCCGCTGGGTCCCCTTTGTCAGGGGGTGGCCAGGAGGTTTAGCCCAAACTCCCTTCATGATGGAGGTCCTCTGGGGGGCACACTTCAGGGATGAGAAGTGGGGGTGTCAGTCGCCCTTTTATCCTTGGCCACATGGAGGTGATGACGACAATATCACACGGGTCTTTCTGCCCAGGGGCCCTTCCATTAGTGGGGTCGGAGCTCTTCCCCACCCTCATGCGAAGCTCCAGCCCCGCCACTCCCGCCGGCACGCCCAGGCCAGGGATTGAGGAGACACTGCGGTGACAGCAGCATCCCCACCCTCTCTGGGGCCGTCCTGCAGGCTGTGGGTGGGAGGGGCAGGCACCACAGGACCAGGGCCCAGCTGTGGACCCTCTTGTGTCTGTGCTGGGCGCCCCATCCCCCAGCAAGCAGCTCCCCTGCCTCTCCCTCTGCAGGACCCCTCCGTGAGTGACACCCTCCTTCCCAGTCAGCCTCCCCTGCCGGCCTCCCCGGTGGTGCTGAGGCCTGTCCCATGCTCTCGGCAGCCCGTGCCTCCTCTCCCCTCCCACTGCCAGGTGCTCCCTCCCTGCAGGCGCCTGACCTGTCCAGTTTGCACACCCCTGGCTTTGGGCGGTGGTAGAAATTGGGAAGAGGGGCCATCGCAGGGAAATTTGGAAATGCAGGGGAGGAAGTATCGATACAATTAAGTATTCAAATGAGCTTAGTTTGCTGCTTGCTAAGTTTACTTAAACCCTCTATTGCCGGCTCTTCAGCAGCCGGTGAACGTGGGAAGTTCATTAACAGGAAGGAGGCCTGTGTTTGCCTGTAAACTGGCATCGATCAGGCCTGGTGGGGGCTGGGCGCAGGCCACCAGGAGCCAGATGAGGACCATGTCCTAGGTGCCCCCCATGAGCTGCCTGCCTGTGCAAGCATCCTTTCAGGGGCCGTGGCAGGCAGGGGTGGTGACGTGAGGAGTGGAGAGAGGGTGAGTGCAGGAGGAGGAGGAGGCGTGGTGGGAGAGGAGCCATCCAGTCCCTTGCCGGGCTGGGCCTCTGCTCTGTGGCCAGAGTCAGGCACAAGGGAGCCCACCAAGGCCCGGGTCACCTCCCAGCAGCTCCCAGCCGCCCCTGGGGACTTGGGTCCACCTGCGACTGCCTTTCTCCTGCTGTGCTTCAAAGACAGAGCACTGAGCCCTGCCCTTGGGTGCCCATTCCTGGAGTCACACCACCAGGGACCTGCCTGGAGGTGCCAGCTGCCCAGGTAAGGCCTAGCCATGCTCTGGTCTCCTGTGCCATCTCCTGTCTGGGCCACCCTGTTCTCCAGCTGCTCAGGATCAGGGCCTCTCTGTGCACTTGGCAGGGATGAGGGCACCCAAATGGAGAGGGAGGGTGTTGGCTGAGGCTGGCACCCGCTCGGGGAAGGACACCTCCCTTCTGTGGGGTGAGGGTGGGAGTTGGCAGCCTGGGTCCTTTCTGGTTCCACTGATGCACACGACTGTTGGGGTGATGGGAGGGATTCTCAAGACTTTCTGAGTTGCATGGTCTGCTTCTGCCTTCCTGACTCTGTGCATGTGTGTATGTGAGAGAAATTGGGAGAGGCAGAGGGAGGGAGGGAGGGAGGGAGGGAGAGGGAGACTGAGGTCAGAGGGGCATCGGCCGCACAGGCCCTGGATGATCAGAGCCGAGGGAGGGGGTTCTGGCTCTGAGCCCAAGGAGGGCTCCAGGGTGTGGACAGGCGGAAACCCAGGCCCATGCGCCCTCTCCACCCACCGTGGGGCCGCCCACACCACGGCTGAGCACGCGGAACTGCCTGCCTGGGAGACATACTTCTTTATATGCCCATATGACCTGGGAAGCTATGGAATGTAAAGAAGTATGTATTTCAGGTCGGGGACTCGGTCGCCGGAGTAAGGGGCAGTCCACACCCCGGGACCTCCTGCAGGGCCTCCGGGGGGAC